GCGCTCCCCCCGCCGCGGCGGGCAGGAGGCGGGCACGGCAGTGGGGGGCTCCCGTGCCCGCCTCCTCCCCGTCCCCTCGGGGCCCTCTGCCGCCCAGCCCGGGCTGTCCCGGAGCCCGCGTCCCCCGTGGGGGCTCCTCGGAGCGGGGACGGAGCGACCCCCGCGGGGTTTGGGAGGGTCCCGGGGCGCACCGAGGTCGGGGCCGGCGGGGTCTCGGGATGCGCCGGGGCTGAGGAATGTGGCAGCGCTGATGGCTGCGCAAGGGATGCTCGGAGGACGGGAACAGTACCGGGATCAGAGGACGTGCGGGGCTGAGGGATGTGCGGGGATCGAGGGCTGTGCGGGGGCTGAGGGATGTCCCAGAGGAACTGCCCGTCGGATGGGGGGGAGCGGCTGGGGAAAACAGGGCTCCTAAATCCTTCTGGCTGGCCTTGGGGCCGCAGCTCAGCTCCCTCCTGCTGGGGGGGGACTCCTGCGCTTGCGTTTCCCAGAGGCTCAGCGGATGGACGAGACTGTCCTGGGTGAGCTCCCCGGAGAACACAAGATGGACAGTCGTGTCTGCGCGATGCGGGAGCTGCAGCGGCTGCCAGGGAGAGGGAAACCAAGGCACAGGGAGGGGAGCTGCCTGTTAACCAGAGGCAGGGCTGGGACTCGGGCTGCTCGGCCGCCTTTGCCCTGTCCCCTGAGGCCACCCGGCCAAGCCGCAGAGTCGCCTCTGGTCCAAGGCAATCTATGATTAATTTGCAAGGAAGTAAATAGTATTTAAAAAAGATAAAAGTGAAGAATAAATGATTCCTGGCAGATATGTCAGTCAGGTTTCTGTTCACTCTAGTGTGGCTGGCTCATCTCATTTATTTGTATTAATTGCAGTCTGGTAATGGCTGGGAGCTGCTGTACAAAGCCATTGCCACAGGGGTCCACAGAGGAGGATCTCAGAGGAGAAGGAGAGCACGGTGCCCCCTGTGCCTGCTCTCCCCAGGGCGAGTGCAGGACTTGGAGAGGTCCCCACTGGATCTGCTGCAGTGTGAGCGAGGGCTGGCTGTGTGAGGCTGAGCCCAGGGTGCCTGGCCCAGCAGGGCAGAGGGGGCTGCAGGCGGTGGCCAGCGGGCACTTGGCTTGAGGCAGCGTGCAGGAGTCCTCATCCCCACTCATCGGCTCTCCCAGCACCAGGAGCTGGGCCAAGTCTCCTCTGATTACCGTTGCCATTAATGTTTACGGTGCCACGGTGCTGGGAGGCGCAAGGCACAACGCGGAGCCCCAGGGAGCAGAGCAAACGCACGCTGTGTGACAGCTCCTCTTCCTGACACTGTCCGAGCTAAACCGACCTGACACTTCTGGGAGGAGGGGAGCCAGTGCATCCTCTCTGCTCTCTGGGGAAACTGAGGCACTGGCACGGTGTCCCTGCATCAGCAGAGGGGCCTGAGGATGGTCAGAGTGGCCGTGGGGCCAGCATCTCAGGTGGCCACGAGCATGGGAGCTCAAGATAACCAGCTACAAGCCATGAGTGCTGTGGGTGCTGGGACCGAGCTGACGAGTCTCTTGCAGAGGCCGATGAAGCCAGTGTGGCTCCCCGATGGGCAGCACTGTGGGGGATGTTGCAGGCACAGCCCTCCTGCCCGCCTTGCAGCTGTGCAGGCAGCCAGCACTGCGAGGAGTGAAGCAGGGCTGAAAGTAAGCTCTGAGAAAATGAAGTCAGCGAGCATCCCATCAGGAGGGCAAAGGCAGTGCTGATTTGTTGCTGGCTGGGTCGGGGGGATGGAGCAGCAGCTGCAAAACCAGAGCCCCAGCAGTGCCCAGGGGACCCCAGGATGGCGCCTCATCCCCACCAGGGGATTTTTGGGAGTGACAAGAATAGGCTTATTATCCCCCATGTCCCTCAAATCAAGGCCAGAGGTGTTTTTTCTGTAAACAGTCGAGATTCCAGCCAGCAGGCAGCTGTCAGCATTGGGCTCCTGGAGACAGGCATCCACCACCAGGTTGC